ACAAGGTAAGTTCCAGAACAGAGGTTCAAACACAGTGCTGTGGGGGCCAAGAGGAGGAAAGGAAAGCAGGACAGTCTTCTCATGGGTCTTAGGGGACAGGCAGTTTCAGAGACACGGTGAGCATTATCAAGAGAGTACAGTGCACAAGCAAAGAAGAATACAGTAAATGGACGGCCACAGCAAGTTCAGGAGCAGCAGGAAATTTAGGAGCGATGAAGAACAGGACAGATGAAGTGGAGTGGCAGCAACTCAGGCTAGAGGGTTGGGTTTGGGCTAGCGTGTAAAGAATCTTTGGCTATGACTGTATCCTAAAAAAGGGGAACCCATGGCATTTCTAAGGGAAGAAACATGGTTTTTTTAATAGAAAAATAATTTCAGCAGAGAAGCTAGACTGGAGTTGGGAGAGACTGCCACTACATTTCATTTGTTCTGTATGCACCTATTCTGTGCCCTGCACTATCCTAAATGGGAGAATGCAATAATGAATAAGATACAGTCCCTCGTCTCAGTCTTAGAAGAGTCAGACAAGTAAACAGGCAATTACAATAAAGGATAAGTGTGAAAATAGAAGCACAGAAGAAGGGCACTAAAAGGGGTGAGGTCCTGAAAGGAGGTGACACTTAAACTGATGTGAAGGACCAAAAGGGAAGGGGTGGGGGAGGGGGGGAATGCATCCGGGACAGCAGGACCAGCCCTTGCAGACGCCCAGAAGCTAGAATGAAGTACATTCAGAGTGCTGTTAAGAGACTGAATCCAGGTGAGAAATGAAGGCCTGGTTTACCCAGAGGTCCTCGGTACTCAAAAGGGTCCCAGGTTCGACTCCCATCAAGGGCATGTACTTTGGTTGCAGGCACATTCCCAGTGGAGGGTGTGCAGGAGGCAGCTGATCGATACTTCTCTCTCATCGATGTTTCTAACTCTCTATCCCTCTCCCTTCCTCTCTGTAAAAGATCAATAAAATATACATTTAAAAAAAAAAAAAAAAAGAGACTGAATCCAGGTGAGAAATGAAGGCCTGGTTTACCCAGAGGTCCTCGGTACTCAAAAGGTGGTGGTAAGGATGTGAAGGGAGTAGATTGAAAGATAATACGTGAATAAGCAGTATCTGAGAAGAAATGGATTTAGACAAGTAAAAGAGAACCGTAAAGGGGGAGAATCAACTCAAAATCCATCAGACTTCACCCTGCAGTTTAATCATTTGCTAAAATGTGATCAGCATCCAGAAAGTCTGAGGACTTCTACCAAAACACAAAGATGTACCCTATGGAGATAACACGTTTCAGCACGCTGCCTGCAACACAAGATGTAAAGTACACTATCCTGAGTCACGTGGCTCCTCAGTTAATGGAGGAGAACAGCAGAGACTGACAAAATCACGTGTGCCACAGGTGATTTTGAAAATAGAAAAATTCATCACAGGGCTGGGTAGGAATTCCCAAGGAAAGCCCTAATTCCTAAACCCCCAATTCCCTGAAATCTGGTTAGACACCAGGCGCGTGCCTACTCTGATGGCAGGGTGGAGAGTCATTTACGGAAGAAAAAGATGGGCCCTGAGGGTGACTTAAATAGACAGGGCATGACTCAGAAGGAGGGGAAGAGTGAGTCTTAAATGCAGGGCAAAGGAAAGCCAGTCTACCACACCGTGGGCACACCTCTGCCCCAAGGCTGCCAGAGGCCTACCTGGCTAAGGAAAAGGCCTGAGCGCTGAGCCAGGGTCTTCCTCAGCAACACAGGCCTCAGCAGAAGCGCACTTGTTTTCCATTTTCCGCTTAAGCTGCTTAAAATGCCATGTTGTGTGGAGTTTTCCTATGTAGTTTGTTACTTGCTTGTTAAAAGAAAGATGCATCCAGTCTGTCCATGAGTTTAACACTATGGCTACTTCAATGGCTCATGTCGGTAATCAAAGTCAGAAATGAGCCTTATATTTACATGTACGTTAATATGTCCTCCCTCTCCCTCCCTCCCTCTCTCTCTCCCCTCCCCTAATGTCCTAATACCCTAATGTCACTCTGCTCATCCAACCCAGGCTCAAGGTTTTGCAAAGGCCAACTGGAATCATGAAGAAAGAGCCCAGGTTTGGCTAATATGGCACAGAGGGCTCCGTCACCAAGGTCCCAGCACCAGTTATTATTTCTGAGAGGAAGGAGGGAGTTGTGATGAAGAGCTCAGCTCCTAAAACATTTTTTAAATAACCAAAAAATTTTACTTGCAATATGGGTATACATCTAACCATCACAACAAACCAACAAACAGATACAAATTGCCACTAGGCATATTTTAAAGTTAACTTCATACTAAAAAAAAAAAAAAAAAAGGCTCAATTGCCAAAGCCAGATTGCCTAGAATCAAATTCCAGATCTGCCACTTACAAGCTCAGTAACCTTGAGCAAATTACTTAACCACTCTCTACCTCTATTTACTCATCTGTAAAATGGGGATAATAGCAGTATTTACTTCATAGGGTTGTTATAAAAATTAGTTAATACATTTAAAGCACTCACAACAGTGCCAGGCACGTAAAATGTGCTTGATAAGCACTATTATTATTTTACCATCATCATTATCATCATTATCACTCAACTGCAAAGAAGCCTCAAAGCGTCAGCAGGAAATCGCTGGCTTTTAACACTTTATTTTTTAAACTGTGTTTTTACTGATTTGAGACAGAGGAAGGGAGAGGGAGAGAGAAACATCAAATGAGAGAAACATTGATCAGCTGCCTCCTGCATGCCCACTACTGGGAATCAAGGCCTCCACCTGGGCATATGTCCTGATGGGAATCGAACCCGCAACCTCTCAGTGCATGGGACCACACTCAATGAACTGAACCACGCCAGCCAGGGCTTAACAACACTTTAAATAGTTTAAAAAGCTGTACTTCATCTCTCTAGCATCAGAATAGCAGCCCAAACCAGTACAGGTCCTGCATAGAGACTCCAGGTTCGATCATGAAGCAGAGATTAGTGCTGAAATCTGACTAGCATAATAACAACAAATACATATTGAGGGTCAGGTAATGTTCTAAATGCATTAATATATTAACTTATTTAACCCTCAAGACAATCCTTAGAGATACTCTTACCAAACCCATTTGATTGATGAAAAAGCTGAGGCATAGAGAGCAATGTAATTTTTTTCTTTTTTAAAAAATATATTTTTATTGATTTCAGAAAGGAGAGGAGAGAGAGAGAGAAACATCAATGATGAGACAGAATCACTGAATTGGCTGCCTCCTG